TATCACAAATGTTTATATTGCGGCTAATTATTTTTCATTCTTGTGCTGCTTGTTCCTGGTACTTGTGGTATACTTCCTCCACTAAATCTTGAGATCTTGTAATCTCATCTCTCTCTCTTGCCTTGTACCATCGTATTACCAAGCCCAGTAGAGCAGATGACACCACTGCCAATACTAGTGTGCTCAGATAGAACCAGATACCACATGTACTGGTGTGGAGTATTGGAAACCATTTGTTGCTCCATAACCAAAATAGGAGTGTTCCAAGGCCTATGAAGAACATTACTGTTGTGTAGAAAAGTCCTATCAGAAGGCCCTTCATATTGTATGGTGCCTGTGCACATACAAACTCAGTGCTAGATTTTAGTACCACTACTATTGCGAATGCTAGGATCAATTGGAAAGGAATGTTAATCAAAAGTCCAATTTCACTTGCATTATGACTGTTTTGTACAAACATACACCCAGTATTACGATCGAACAGAATTGCCTCTGTCACCACACCATACAATGAAGAAACAATGAGAGCTGCAGCTCCAATTCCAGCAGACTGGAGGATGCTGGGACCTCGGTTTCTCAGACATGGGTAGATGAGTAGCTCATACAGTGGAATAGTGACCATGATAGATATTTGTTGGAGTGCAACACTGGGAATGGAATTTTCTTTGAGGTGTAATAAACCAAAGCTTTCTTCCATGGCCGGTTGTGATTCACACTGAGCCATAAATGTTACAGCAGATAATCCAATAACCACAATGACAACCAGAACTCTCCAGAAGGTCTTGACATCCTCCACTTGCTCTGTGGTGAAAGGTCCACCATATTTTGACTTGCCATAGTCCAGTCTTGTTGGCCGTTCATTTTCACAGTATGTGAAGGCACTTCTCTGAACTGGATACTTGTGCTTTGCTGCATATTTCAAGACTTTGAAAATAAGAGTCACTGGATTGACAGTCACTGGCTCTTTCACCAGTTTGTGGTGGAAATGAAAGTCCAAAATGAGTCCCACAGAGAGTAGTAGGACTGGCAGCAGTGACATCACCATACTGACTTCACTTGTCTGAAAATGTGTGCAATTATAAAGTACTGATTCTGCAATAGAGGGAACAACAGGGCTACTAAAGAAAGTCCATACTAGCCATGATATGAAGGCAGAAATGTTAGCATCAGATCCGCTAGAAATCTGGTCTATTCCTAGTGGAATAGCACTGGATGTGTGAGCTCCCAGGAGCACGTATTGTAGCAGCAAGATTATGAGGTGGATATTGTATTGCATACTGTCTGAGTAAAGTCTTTCCACATAGTGTTAAAACATTACCAACAATGGAGAGCAACCAAATCCCTTTCAGAGTGTAGCTTACAAGTTTGTATCGACCAATGACGACTTCTGCTAAAAGACTTGCTATTGGAATTGAGATGAATGAAACACTGGAAATGACTAGGGTATATTTGGGCTCCACCAACCACAGAATGGCTGGATTTTCCTTCTTCTCTGGACTCAAATTCAACTTGTATTGCTGCATTGTATTGAGGGTGAAACCTAGTGAGCAGCAAATTATAAACTCCCATGCCAGAATCAGCAAGAGGCTGCGTGAACCAATGCTACGATGTCTCCACTTCCTTCGTCTGCTTGTGTGTCTGACTCTGCATATGTTGCTCTCCTGGACTCCTGGAGATGACTCCGTTACTGTGACATCGTCACCAGAACACGATTCTCTCATACTGATTCCTTCCTTCTCTCCAACACAAGTCGCCATTATTCTACGTTGCCTTTAAACTAAAGGAGTTTTTTCTTGTTGGGAGTAAGATTGAGTTGCAACTGCCTCCTCTGCACGTCTAAATTGCTGATTCTCAATCGTTACCTCGACATCTGTGCTACATGTGTATATACACTGCTAAAGTGTTAGGGGATTTTGACTAATCTTAAAAAATCAATGTTTGTGATGTGCATCCCTGCTCTGTTTTGAGAACTAACAGTATTGTATGTAGTACATATTAACCAAGTATGTGCTTAGAACTATGGATTTCATAATAAGACTTCACGTTTAGTAACACACATCCATCACTTTCAAAAGTGCCAGAGAAAAAAAGCAACCTTCCCACAAAAGATCGGTGAAACTTTCCGCAAAGTGTTTATGCTGCAAACGTTTCTAAAGCTACTCCTTCCTACACTCTTTCTTGCAAACAGATCTTGCAAAAAGAACTTATTAACCCTAAGACTAAAAGTTTGGCATTTGATCCACCATTATTTTGATCTATTCCTACTGGAACTGCAGTGGCAATGTATCCCCCATTCAACAATGACTGTGGTAATACCACTAGAAAAAGCAGGATCATATGCAGTGTTGAGTTTGTCGTAGGTAGGCTCTCTCCACATACTGTGATAGTAGCTGAAATAATGCTAAGTAGCCACATTGCCTTCAGAGAGCAGCTGACAAGTTTGTATCGACTGATAACCACCTCTGCTAGGAGACTAACTATGGGACAGGGGATTACTGCAAGAGTCAATGTAGTTGTGGTCGTATGGCTAGCCATTGATAAATGTGAAGCCTGCTGAACAGCTAATGAGAAACTCCCAGGCGATAATGAGTAGCAGGCTGCTGAAGCCATTGCTGCGCCAATGCCACCTTCTCCTGAGTCTGCTAGCAGGTCTGCCTTTGGACCTGCTAGCCCTCTGAGATTCTCTCTGAATGCTGTCAACTCCAGAACCTCTTATAATAGTGATGCTTTCATCTTCACAACCATTTGACGCCATTTTTGAGCTTTAAATGTGTCTTCACACACATAGCAGTAACTGGGCCAATTATTAGTTTTGGTGAAATGTCTTATGTTATAACCGTTCCTTGGCCGTTTTCCAACATATTTTCTATATAGTGTTGCTACTCACTCTGTAATGCGTTTTGATCCTGAAAATATGCACTTGCTCTTTATGAAACTGAGCTAAGTTGTTTTGAAGACATAGTGTGTGTTTAGGATGAAGCGGCATCACCTTCGTTTCACTTTTCACTCGAAAACAAAACGAGGAGGTTTTTTTTACTGTGCATGCAACCACGAATGTCTGGGCATGGTCAGCAGCACATACCAGTGGCAAAGACTTGTGGGGATGAATCTCATTAGTTCAGAACCACAAGTGCTGCGCTGCTGGTAGCCTTTATAAACTGGTGGTGCCAGAGAGAGAAGTTGCAGTATGCTCTGGTGATGAGGGCCAACAAGCCCGAAACAGCTGTCCAGAGCTCCACATCTTTTTTCTCTTGGCATCACATGGTATTTTTACATGCCCACATGTTACTATGTATATGAGTGGCATAATGTTAGATCTGTAGGGCACCTGGTACCTCCCAGCCCATTACACAATCCCTATATTGTTGCCTGTTGTGCCACTCTCAATATGGCAGTGGTTGCACCACAGAATGGCAAATGTCACCTACGTATCTGGTACTATATGCTCCTGCTGAAACGTATTGTCTCATACTTCACCAAGGCAACAATATAGGGATTGTGTGATGGACTCGGGGGTATCAATCTGTTTGTAAAACTTGCTTCGTATATATACCATCTCTATCTTGTCTCCCTGATTACACCCACAGCATGATAATTGTTGTCAGAAAACTAATTTAAAATTTTTGATTATGGAACTGGCTGAAAATAGTCACACTAGTATGTGTACAACACCATAAAACAGTTTTTTTATCACAAATGTTTGTATTGCGGCTCATTATTTTTCATTCTTGTGCTGCTTGTTCCTGGTACTTGTGGTATACTTCCTCCACTAAATCTTGAGATCTTGTAATTTCATCTCTCTCTCTTGCCTTGTACCATCGTATGACCAAGCCCAGTAGAGCAGATGACACCACTGCCAATACTAGTGTGCTCAGGTAGAACCAGATACCACATGTACTGGTGTGGAGTATTGGAAACCATTTGTTGCTCCATACCAAAAATAGGAGTGTTCCAAGGACTACGAAGAAAATATTGTTGTGAAGAAAAGTCCTATCAGAAAGCCCTTCATATTGTATGGTGCCTGTGCACATACAAACTCAGTGCTAGATTTTAGTAGCACTACTATTGCGAATGCCAGGATCAATTGGAAAGGAATGTTAATAAAAGTTCCCATTTCACTTGCATTATGGCTGTTTTGTACAAACATACACCCAGTATTACCATCGAACAGAATCGCCTCTGTCACCACACCATACAATGAAGAAGCAATGAGTGCTGCAGCTCCAATTCCAGCAGACTGGAGGATGCTGGGACCTCGGTTTCTCAGACATGGGTAGATGAGTAGCTCATACAGTGGAATAGTGACCATGATGCTGGACTAGATATTAGTTGTTGGCGTGCAACACTAGGAACGGAATTTTCTTTGAGGTGTAATAAACCAAAGCTTTCTTCCATGGCCGGTTGTGATTCATACTGAGCCATAAATGTTACAGCAGATATTCCAATAACCACAATGACAACCAGGACTCTCCAGAAGGTCTTAACATCCTCCACTTGCTCTGTGGTGAAAGGTCCACCATATTTTGACTTGCCATAGTCCAGTCTTGTTGGCCGTTCATTTTCACAGTATGTGAAGGCACTTCTCTGAACTGGATACTTGTGCTTTGCTGCATATTTCAAGACTTTGAAAATAAGACTCACTGGATTGACAGTCACTGGCTCTTTCACCAGTTTGTGGTGGAAATGAAAGTCCAAAATGAGTCCCACAGAGAGCAGTAGGACTGGCAGTAGTGATAACACTGACATCACCATACTGACTTCACAATGTGTACAATTATAAAGTACTGATGCTACAATAGAAGGAACAGCAGGGCTACTAAAAAATGTCCAGACTAGCCATAATATGAAGGCAGAAATGTTAGCATCAGATCCGCTTGAAATCTGGTCTATTCCTAGTGGAATAGCACCAGATAAGTGCGCACCCAGGAGCATATATTGTAGCAGCACAATTATGAGGTGGATATTGTATTGCATACTGTCTTGTATAGTCTTTCCACATAGTGTTAAAACATTACCAACAATGGAGAGCAACCAAATCCCTTTCAGAGTGTAGCTTACAAGTTTGTATCGACCAATGACGACTTCTGCTAAAAGACTTGCTATTGGAATTGAGATGAATGAAACACTGGAAAAGACTAGGGTATATTTGGGCTCCACCAACCACAGAATGGCTGGATTTTCCTTCTTCTCTGGACTCAAATTCAACTTGTATTGCTGCATTGTATTGAGGTTGAAGCTTAGTGAGCAGCAAATGATAAACTCCCATGCCAGAATGAGCAAGAGGCTGCGTGAACCAATGCTACGATGTCTCCACTTCCTCCGTCTGCTGGTGTGTCTGACTCTGCATGTGTTGCTCTCCTGGACTCCTGGAGATGACTCCGTTACTGTGACATCGTCACCAGAACACGATTCTCTCATGCTGATTCCTTCCTTCTCTCCAACACAAGTCGCCATTATTCTATTGGTACACAACAATCAAGTGACCTTGAAGTTGGAGGAATTTTGGGGATTATGATTGAGTGGCAACTGCCTTGCAGCGTACAGTATGCAATCTTCTCTGCGGTTCTAAATATTCTGAGGCTCAATCGCGACCTTGACAACTCTACTACATGTATATATACTGCTAGAGTAAATACCTGTTATGGGTTTCACTAATCTCTTGTTTTCGATGTTTGTGACGTGTGTGTTTGCATTCTATTTCAGAGAACTTAGGATTTTATAATATGCATGTTTGGTAAACATATCCATCACTTTCAACGATACGCACATTCCTACAAAATTTCATGGCTTTATCTCTTTCGGTTTTTGAGTTATGCTGGTTGAAGAAGAAGAAGAAGAAGAATAAGATGATGATGATGAACAAAACTCCCTATCATAGACCCCATACATCTATGATGCTAGGTACCATGCCAATCCCTATATACTAAGTACTACTGTACTTAGTGATAAGTACTAGTGATCAACACCCAAGTACTATGTGTATTTAGTGCATAGCTGGTTTAAATCGAGCAATCTGATTGGTCCACACGAGGTAGGGACTCTCCGTAGTAAACCTTGTTTTTCATCACATGGTCTATTGTTACATGTAAAAATTTTACATGAAAATGACAAGATCACATACATAATCTACAGAAACATGTAGCTTTATCGTCTACAATAAGTTTCAACAGTATGACAAGAAGTCTGGGCCTAGCTGTACGTAAGCGCCTGTACGCTAGCGCTAGCGGTACGTCACGCCCGCGGATACGTGCGCTTAGATTGGGCGGCGCCCTTTTCCGGCGGACGGCGAGCGGGTGCTGTCATTCGAATTTCAGTCGCCTGGAAACGGGCGCTGTGCGTGTGTGCGGATTTGTCTGCTGTGCACTAAACATGTTAGTCACTCCGTATACTCGGGAACTACGGGATTTCAATGAACCCTCGAGCCATCCGCGTAGTTGCCCTCGCTGCGCTCGGGACAGTACAACGTGGAGGCCCTCTGGTTCATTGAAATCCCGTAGTTCCCTCGAACGGAGTAACTAAATATAAGTTAGTGCATAGCTGATTCGAATCGACCAATCAGATTTGTTAGACTACGGTAACACGCAATTGACCAATCAGATTGCGAGTTTAGCGGTGACTATTTTTGTTAGTGACCTCTTCCGCGGTAACTATTCGTAGACGCGGCAACCACGCCTTCAATTCGAAAAGACGCCACGCGTGCGGACGGTGAACCGAGCTTCTGGAGCGGTTCTTCCCACGAAGAAACCAGGAGAACAGGCTCTTCTAGCAGCAGCGCATGACTACTAGAGAGCTAGGAAGACGCTAGAGAAAGCGTACAGGGAAAAACGCGTACAAACGGCCGGCCGGCGCGATCCCGAAGGGCAGCAACGCCTACAACGGACACTGCAGCGGGACGGACTTGCGCTGTAGTCTAAGCCGGTTAGACGCGTCGCCTTGGGAAACTACGTGATTTAGTGAGCCTCGGAGCCCTTAGTAGCGCCCTCGCTGCGCTCGGGACGCCGACAGCTCAGGGCTCCTCGGCTCACTAAATCGCGTAGTTCCCGCAGCTCAGCGTCTAACCTATACTTAGTACGAGGTTCCTGATTCTCATATGAACCTCGTGAGCTGAAAACGATTTTCAACAAGTTCAACAGCATTTCATGTAGGAAATGTATCCCGCAAAACATGATCTGTACAAAATGTTGATCAAAATAACTGATATCTTGATTTTCTTTTTCCACAAAAACCACATGTGCAACGTCATACTTTTTGGTTTGTAAACAACTAAAAATTTGCCCCAGGCAATACATTATAATGGACATACATGTGTTAGTGTAATTCACATTAATTATTGTAAGAGCTATGTGAACGAAACTTTGTATACATAATGTATTCAATACCCAACATCAAAAACACAACAATACATATTTATAAACAACAACAAATAGCCTCAGGCACTTTTCTTTAAATTTACATCTTCACCTCTCAAACTCCTTAATGGTAGAACGCATAGAGATGAAACTTGGTGCGTATGCCTATTATATCATTTCCATGACAACTACATGTTTCCATGACGACCGCATACTGTTGAAGAAACCTCAGACGATTATCTTTATAATTATTCTTCACTCCTCAAACATGCTAACTGTAGCATGCAGCACGCATGGAGGTGAAACTTGGTACGCATGTGTATTACATCGTTTCCATGACGACCACAACAACAAATAGCCTCAGGCACTTTTCTTTAAAATTACTTCTTCACTCCTCAAAATTTGCTAACTGTAGCACGCATAGAGGTGAAACTTGGTACGCATGTGTATTACATCGTTTCCATGACGACCACAACAACGAATAGCCTGAGGCACTTTTCTTTAAAGTTACTTCTTCCCTCCTAAAACTTGCTAACTGTAGCACGCATGGAGATGGAACTTGGTACACATGTGTGTAACATCGTTTTCATGACCACAACAACAAATATATAGCCTCAGGCACTTTTCTTTGAAATTGCTTCTTCACTCCTCCAACTTGCTAACGGCAGCACACATGGAGATGAAACATGGTATGCATATCATTTCCATAACGACAACAGGCATTTTTTTCTCTATTATTAATTTTTTATAGGGGCTTGCCCCCTTCCACAAAGATAATGCGTAGTAGTATATAAAAATGAGTGGAGGCAAGTAAATTAAAAATCCTGCGAATTAAAAAAAAGAGGCATATAGGGATGGTATAAAAAGAAAGGGAGACAAGATAGGGATTGGATACATGAAGCATGGTTAATGAACAGATTTGAGTACGCTGACACCCCCAACCCCATCACACCATCCCTATATTGTTGCCTAGGTGAAGTATTAAACATTCACCATTACAATACTCAGAACTTACAATGCACTACTGAGTAACCAACACCCTTATAGAGACCAAGTGGAGTTTAATTAAAGGGAATGTGGCAGTATAAATGTTACTAAAAACAACAAGGATACGGAAAAGTGCCAGATAATGAGGCGAAGATGATGTATAAACCTTCCCACAACAGATTGGTGAAACTTTCAACAAGTGTTTATTCTGCCTGCTGCACATGTTTCTACACTACTACTACTACTACTCCTTCCTACACTCTTTCTTGCAATCCTGACACAGATCTTGCAACAAGTACTTATTAACCCTCTGACTGCATGTCTCAACAACTTGGTAGCGAGGTATAAACGCAACGCAAGGCAAACAAGTCAACTACACCGGGGACAGCACAGCGAGGGTTGCAGTAGGTTTGTCTGTCTGTCTGTGACGCCCTTTCTGGCACAGCAACACTGTATCAAACTAGCTACGTACATATATACAAAACTCTTGTTCTACTTGTTTGTGGTACTTGGGATGTGTAGTAGCTTATCGTATCATCTCCATCATAATAATATTACCAATCCCAGTGTAAAGAGCAGATGACCCACTAATGTAGTCTGGTATAATTATACAAGTGGAAAAATCATTTCTTCAAAATGAAGGGGATATAGGGATGGCTTGAAGCACCAAAAAGGAAGAAACAAGGGGTCATTACACAGCAAAGATGCACAAAGCTACATGACACCATCCCTATATCTTTGTTTGATATTAAACTTTGCTTATAAACAATAAAACAAAGATATATCGATGGTGTCATGTAGCTTTGCTGTGTAATGACCCCTTGTTTCTTCCTTTTGGTGCTTCAAGCCATCCCTTTATCCCCTTTCATATTGAAAAAATTATTTTCCCACTTGTTTCCACTATTTTTAACAGCTTATGACAACACTGCATTTTATTGTTACAGTCACTCTGATGTTCATGTGTATGGTGTAGATAGGCTACCATAGGCAAACTCTAACTGTTGAGATAATGGGCTGCTAGTGCCTGAAGCGGGGGGGGGGCTGGATACCACATTCGCAGTATCACCTCATGTATTGTACCATGTGCGTTGGTGTGCAAGGTGTCCCTGTACGCTTCATAACAGTCTATATGTGCCGGTGTGTTTTTGCACAAAACTCTGCCTCTTGAGTGATACATTGAAACCAAAAGGATGTTTGTATCTGCTTCATTGCATTATTAGTTTAGTGTTTGCTGTTCCTTATACTTGTGGTACACATTCTGCACTAGCATCTGTGAGTCTGCAATCTCGTCTCTCTCTCTTCCCTTGTACCACCTTACAACCAACATTAGCAGCAGGGATGTCAGTATGGCCATTATTAGGTTGGTGAGGTAGAACCAGACACCACGAGGACTCATCTGTAGCATTTCAAACCACTGGTTATTCCATGCAGCAAAAATGATGGCTCCGCAGCTCTGAACGGAGTTTATATAAATATTGAAAGTCCTATAAGAAAACTGTTCATATTGTATGGTGCCTTTGCACATATGAACTCTATTCTTGATTTGTTCACGAGTATTATTGCTAGTGCCACTGTGAAGAGTAGTGGGATGGTTACGATCGAATTGTTGGGCATATTTTCAGTGAACAAACACTCGGTAGTGCTATTGGTTGACATTTCCTTTGCTGACTCTACTATCACACCCATACAATGATGAGGCAATTATTGCTGCAGCCATAGTGGTGTAAAACTGCTTGCATGCAGTGTGTGCGTGATGAGCTAGGGCATTTCAGACACTGATATGACATTGGCTATGAGTGGCGCAAGGACTGATGTTATCACCAGAATGACTACAAAAACTCTCCAGAAGGTCTTAACATCCTCCACTTGCTCTGTGGTGAAAGGTCCACCATA